AGGAGGATTTCTGGAGTTTGACTAAGTTTGTGTATATAAATAACAAATGGCAGTATATGTTCCACCTTTTGGTAAATCAGCAGAAGGCAAAAATGATAAAAATTTCAATGTCTCAAAGATGTCATTGTGTAGTAGGAGAGAACCTAAAAGCTATTGGATAAATTAAATATTTATCACATTCTGTTTTTAAATGTGTGCATATGATACTGAACAGCATGTAGTCAATGGAAAAACCTGATAATGTTATCAAACCTGTAGTACTATTTGAAAAATCTTAATTTTATTTTGATGTGTATTTTGATGAAGTACATTTTATAAATTGGACAAATATGTATATACACATGCTCTGAAAGGAAAATATTACTAAATTTTCATCTCAAGCTATGTTAACATGTACATTAAAATGTAGGCATGAAGGTGAAGCTGGTATTTTTGCAGTTTCTTACTCAAAGGAAACTGGGGGTTCTTTCCTATCCTCTGGGTAAATTCAGTAGTACCTTCCTTGTCACTTATGCCAGTTTACCTTTGATATCTCTCTCTCTCTCTCTAGAGAGAGAGAGAGAGAGAGAGAAAATCCCACATATCAGCAAGACAAAATCTGAATCTGGTAGCCTCAAATTTTCTCACAGACTGGGTTTTGTCTTTTCCACTTACAGAATGTTCACAGCATATACCAGTAGCTATGCCAAAAATAAAAACCAAACAAGAAAAACATTAGAACTATAGATCCATTCCAAGTGTAAAATTCCAGTTATCAAAGCCTAAATACAAGCCTTTTATTAAATAAAACCACTTTGATCTGCCCAATCATCAATACACTTTCTACTAAATGGCACTGGTAATTCACTGTTGTGATTTTACTGTATTTTTCCTTTATAAACAGTAACACAACATGATAGCATCCAAGGGCTCTGTTTGCTGGAGAGAGAGCCCTGGGTGAGGGTTATGGACTCACCTTAGGTCTCCTGTGCTCTTTGGGGACACAGGTCTAAGACATTGTCTAAAGATTAGTCTGTAGAGCAACTCCTCTCATCGCCAGCCCATCAAAGTGCATCTTAATTGTTCCACAACTGCTGAAAGTTAGAGCTACTTAAAAATGCTTTGTTTCAGGGTGTTGGTAACAATGAACTGTGGCTTCTAAAGTAACTTGGGTCTAGTTCTGAGATGGTAACAAATCTAATGTCAATAAATGAAAATTTGGTGCTATAAACCCACTGACATCGAATCGATTGACTTTTTGTTGTTGTTAAGTGTCATGGTATGGGTTCTGACTGTGAACCTTAAGGTCAGCGGTTCGAAACTACCAGCTGTTCCGCGGGAGAAAGATGAGGCTTTCTGCTCCCATAAAGATTTACAGCCTCGGAAACCCTGTACAGGGTCGCTATGGGTCGGAACCGACTAGACGGCACATAACATAACATAATGGGTTCTGACACATAGCTATATGTACAGGGTTTCCAAGGAACAGCTGGTGAGATTGAACCACCTATCTGGTAGCGTAGTGGTTACGAATTGGGCTGCGAACCGTGAGGTCAGCAGTTCGAAACTACCAGCTGTTCCGCGGGAGAAAGATGAGGCTTTCTGCTCCCATAAAGATTTACAGCCTCGGAAACCCTGTACAGGGTCGCTATGAGTCGGAACCGACTCCACGGCACATAACTACCACCACCACCACCTTACAGTTCAAACTGACCTTGTGGTCCAGTACTTATCCTAGAGCACAGTGTGTGGTTCTGACTCATAGTGACCCTATCCACACAGAATGAAACACTTCCAGGTCCTGTTCAAACCCCACAATTGTTTGAGTCCATTGCTGCTGTCACTGTGCAAATCCATCTCATTGGGAGTCTCCCTCTTTTCACTGTCCCTCCACTTTACTCAGCATGATGTCCTTCTCCAGGGACTGGTCCCTCCTGATAATATGTACAAAATATGAGAGAGAATAGTCTGTCTAGCTTGGCTTCTCAGGAGCATTCTGGCTGTACTTCTTCCTACACAGATTTGTTTGTTCTCCTGGCAGTTCATGGTACTTTCAATATTCTCCAACTATGGAGAGTGACTCCAGCCAGATGGAGCACATAGAAATCAAATTGACTACACATCTGTGGAAAGAGAAGATGGAAAAGCTCCATATCATCAGTGAAAACAAGGCCAGGAGCAGACTGTGGAACAGACCACCAATTACTCGTATGCAGATTCAAACTGAAGCTGAAGAACATGAAAACAAGCCCACGAGAGCCAAAATATGACCTTGAATATATCCCACCTGAATTTAGGGATCATCTGAAGACAGATTTGATACATTCATTACTAAAGACCGAAGACCAGAAGAGTTGTGGGATGACATCAAGAATATCATACGTGAAGAGAGCAAAAAGTCATTAAAAAGATAAGAAAGAAGGAAAAGGTCAAAATGGATGTCAGAAGAGACTCTGAAACTTGCTCTCCAGAATAGAGATGCAAAAGCAAATGGAAGAATTGAAGAGGTCCAAGAGCTGAACAGAAAATTTCAAAGATCAGCTCGAGAAGATAAAACCAAATACTATAATAAAATATGCAAAGATTTAGAGTTAGAAAACCAAAAAGGAAGAA